GGAAGGACCAGAGCAAGGCAGGGAAACAAAAGGAGGGATGGGGGCCCGTCCCGGAGCGGGGCTGCGGGTCCCGGCTGCCGGGGGGGTGAGGGGGGGTCTCCCCGGGGACCGCTCGGCGCAGGGAGAGGGCGGGAGAGGCGGGGGGAAAGCGGAGGGGAGGGGGACACACGTTTTTTTACCTGCACTCTGGACTCCACCAAGTCCAGCCTGAGAGCCAGAGCCTCTCGCATAAACACGTCCGGGTAATGACTCTCATTAAACGCCTTTTCCAGCTCCTCGAGCTGCCAGCCAGTAAAATTGGTGCGGGTTCGTCTTCTCTTACAGCCAGGACTTTCTTTGTCCGGGTCACCCGAGTCTGAAAAGGCAGAAATACCCCTCAGGTCCCTGGAAGACAGGCCTTCTCCCCCCCTCCCTGCCATTCACAGGAGCCTTTGAACTTTAGTGCTCGGCAGCGTTGGTAAAAGAGCGGGATGAGACACACACCTGCGCTAAAAATGGGGAGGAACCCGATCTGCCCTCGCCTCCTCCGAAAATGTACTTTACAGAACATTTATTCCTGAAGGAAGCTCTCCACAGGCACTCAGCTGGCAGAGAGAGAGAGAGAAGTTCCAATATTTGCTCCAACCACCAAAGGTTTCATTACAAAAAAAAAAAAAAAAATAAAAAAACCACCCCCCACCGCCCCCTCTTTCTTCCTCTTCCCCAGCCCCTCCCCAGCCCCGCCGTGGGCCGCAGCTCCCGCAGACCCCCCCGGGCACGGGCGGGCGTGGGGCTGGGGGCTCGCAGCCTATGCGGGTACCTACACCCCCCGACCGGGGGTTTGCAGCCCGAGCTGCACCCTCTCCTAACTGTTTTTCCGTCAGATATGGAAATTAATAATAATAATTAATACTATTTTTTATTTAGTTGAGGTGCAGAAGGGGGCTGCTCCAGGATGAACGAAAAGGCTGTGGGGGCGACGGAGTGATTTAATAGCTGAACAATAGCTGTGCCACAGGCCGGCGGGGAAGGGAGGAAGGAAGGACAGCGCTTCCCTTCCGTTAAATCGTTTCTTAAAAATTAAAATATAATTACCGCTCCTCCTTCCCCAAACTCCAACGATTCTCGCTATTTTGTAATTTTTTTATTTTATTTTATTTTTTTTTCCCCCCTTGCTGGTGCCATCCGGGCCCCCACCCCAGAGACGAACTTTGGGGGAAGGCACCGGGCCGGGCCCGCTATTGTTCAGGGCACACGCGTGGCCCCGCACCGGCGGAACGGGGGGGATGCTCCCGGCGTTGGGGGCCCCCCCGCCCCTTCCCAGGGGGAGTAAAGGCTGGGGGGTGGGGGGGACGACAACACATCCGCACCCCCCCTTTCCAGACACCCCGATATCTCAGAGAGGGATGCTGCGGGGGGTGTTTTTCCCGCTGCGGGCGGGGTGCGGCGGTGGGGGTGAGGGAGACGGGGGGGTCACAGAGGCAGACAGAGGGACACGGAGGGACACGGGGCCGCTCCTACCTGCGAGCTTGAAGGGCTGGGTGTCCCCGCTCACCCCGCAGCCCGAGGGGATGAGCGGCGCCGGGTTGACGACGGAGGCGGCGCAGGAGCCGCTCAATAATCCATCGATGGAGAAGGGCACGGAGGCGGCCGCCGACTGCAGCTGGTGCCCGGCCAGCTCGTAGACGTGATGGTGGCCGAGAGGGTAAGGGAAACCCACCATCCCCCCGAACTGGGGATGGGGATGCTCCAGGATGCGGCTGTCCATCATGGGGGCGGCTCTAGCGCGGGGGGTGCCGGCGGGGCTGGGGCGGCTGGGGCCGGGGG